GGGGTCCGCACCCGGGCTGCCCGCGGCGCTGCGCACTGCGCCCGCAAACTTACTTTGGCCGCCTCTGCCCCGAGCGCGCGGTCCAGGTCCTGCGCCCCCGCCGCCCGTCTGCGGGGGCCGGTGCGGCCGGGAGAGGGCTCGGCCCTGGGCCGCGGGACTCCGGCTGGGGCCGGGCGGTCAGCGAAACTTTTGCCGGCCGCTGCTGGCTGCCAGTGCAGTAGCTGGGGAAAGGAGAGGGCTGGTGGGGTGCAAGTGGTGATGACAGCGGTGACAATAGCAACCCCGGTCCTGGAGAGCCTACTGTGCGCACAGCCAGCCCCTGCCGGTACTTGGAGGAAGGGAACCGAGGAGGAAGAGGGATGCTGGTCAAGGGGTCACTTTTGCTGGCCATTGGTGGAAACTTAAGTAACAACATCTCTCCCTCCCTTCCTCCCTCCCTCCCTCCCTCCCCCCTCTCCCCTTCCTCCCTTCTTTACTGCCTCTGTCCCTCCCTCCCTTCCTTCTTTCCTTCTTCCCTTCTTCCCCCCTCCCTCTCTCCCTCCCCTCACCCACTGCTACCTGCCATGTCCCCCGCAGGGGAATTCAGGGACTAACCAGACAGGCCCCAGCCCTCCCCAGCAGTATTGCATCCGTACTGAAAGCCTCTTGTGCATTCTGGGACACGCTATGGGAGAGCGAATTCAGGCTCAGCCTCCCTGGGCTGGGGGAAGGACAGAGAATAGTTGTGTCTAAGAGCCTGGAAGGCCAGTCTTAGGGGTTGGGGACCCACCATCCTCCATCCCCTCCCAGCTGTCGGGGCTCAGACTGGGTCTTGCCTTGAGGTCAGGAGGCCCCACTCTGAAATTGGACTGCATCCCTGTCCAGGTGACCTCGGCATCCTTCAGAAGTACAGTTCATACCCCCAGTTACTTGAATGACTGGCAGAACAGCTTGTTAACAATAATGAAATTTTACTTGGGAAACAAAAGTGATGCTCAGTTGTATGGTTGCACAACTTGCCCTGATGCAGGGTGGTGGGATCTACCACACTGGAGAGGAGGGGCTGGCAGTGGGGTTGCCCTGGCATTGACCATGTTAATACTGACTGAGTGGCCTTGGCCAGAGGAAAATTAAACCCACTTCATGAGTACTTGGCACATGGCTAAAAACGCCCTGGGGGAGGCTGGACAGGCCGCTGGGTGCCTGCTCCATTCCAGCTGGGAAGCCTGGGAGGCCATCTGGGGAAGGGGCCCAGGCAGGGAGAACACGGGGCTTTGGAGCTGGTGGTGACAGGGAGGCGTCTGAGCCAGGCAAAGTCTACCAGGGACGGCAGTGTGGGAGCCATGCATAATAAAGGTTTGCACACCGCCCGGCTCCCTGCAAATTGGCTTTCCAAGTGGCAGCCCCTCAACACTTGTAAAACCCTTTTTTTTTTTTTGCTTAAGATGGATTTTGGTGAAATGGTTGTAACCCTTCTGGTTCCTGGAGAGTTGGAACCTCGGTAATTGGCTGATGGCTGGTCAAAAGGCGATACGCTCCAAGCCCACAGGTTTAATCGTGGTTCTGCTTTGGGGCTGTTACACTGATTTAATCCTCAACCCAAAGAATTTGGGAAGACCTGGATTAGATTCCTTCATGTTGATGCGGGTAGGCTGAGTGTCACCCACAAAGATGAAGAAAACCCAGATAGAACCGTTGTGTGATGTACTTAGAACGGCTCACACCCACCTCTGAATGATGCCCTGAATGTAGAGACCACCAGAACAGGGTTAGATTTAGGTGAAAGATGGGGCCCAGGAGCACATGGATCTATGGGGCCCATGCCACGCCCCCCTCAGGCTCCTCTGAGGCTGAGGCCTAGAGACAGGTTCTAAGGCCTGCTTTGTAAAAATTCCCAGGCCTGTTAAATCTTATTCGTCCAAAGTGAGTTAAGGTCATTTATTCCCCCTTGAACCTGCTGCCTTCCCACCTAGTCTGTGGCCACTCCTCACCCCACCCCCACCCCCACCGCACACAGGACACAACTCTCTTACTGTCTGAAAAACTAAGAACGATGACAGGATTGTACCAAAGGAGCGAGTTTGGAGGAGGAAAGATCAGCATTCTGGGTGCAGGTTCTAGACTTCTGAAAAGGAAACCGTTACCACAGTGCAGCAGCTCTTCGGCTCTCCACATGCCTTCACCTTTCCCGTTTCAGGCCTTTCAGTGATCATGAATAGCGGGGCAGAAGGAATGAATTGGCCAGGCGAAGACTTTAACAAGTAAATATGACACACAGAAAAACATGCAATTAGTGGAGGTTAGTGAGTCCCTTTCAAGTCCCTAGAGCCGCAGTTAAGGGTGGAGTTTCTGCCTTATCCCTGAATTGTCTGTCAAAATCTTTAAAGTGACAATGTGACATGTCTCTCCCATCACCCCTCCCTCACCAGGAACAAAAATGGGTCTTTGCATGTGGCCCCTTCTATGTTCTCCTTGACATCTTTCTGTTCAACCTTTGTCTGCACCCCTGAGGTGAAGGAGCCCAGGCCCCCCTCCACCGGCTCCCTCTGAGGTCGAGGCCTAGAGACAGATTCTCTGCCGTGTCCATGCACAGAGTAAAGTTGCTGGCCCCTCAGGTGTGAGGCAGGGTCTTCTTTCTGCCCTGAACCTCTAGGGCCAGATGCCCCTGACACTCACGATAAAGGCAGGCAAAGGTGACGCTTCCTGAAGCAAGGGCCATTTATTGTGGGTTGTGTCAGGCGTGGTGAAGGTGACCTGGTAACCTGGTTCCTGGTGTGTGGCTGTTCTCATGTCAAGACATCTCCTTCTAGCTTTGAACCCAGACTGCCTCTGTTGTTCAGTTTGAGTCTGAAAGAGGTAGCTGAGAGGCAAGAAGCCCAATAGACCTCAGAGAAAGAGAAAAAGAGGTGACCCCAAACCAAACCTCATTGGAGGTGATTTGGGGTGGAAGGCTTAAGTATATCTGGATTGGTTTGGCTCACCGAGGCTTTCCCCGGTGACATGAACGATGTACTTTGTTTTGACACCCCCCCCCATGAGACAAAGCTTAGTTATGCTTGATTTCCATTTTAAATACTTATGAGGCAATCCGAATTTCATTTGAAAACTTAGCAACTTGAGGTTATGTGGATTCATGTATAACTCAGTCATACAGTGACTTGAGGTGTTACTGGGCCTTTCTGTGAATTCCTCTTCCACAAACTTGGCTAAGATGATGTCAGAACCCGGTCATTCATACTAAATAGAAGCAACTTCTGTTAAAAAAAAAAATCTCCCTTCTAGTGGATTATGAACTCCTGTCCAGTTCAGAGCCAGACCAGGGTGGCTGTCTCTCCCCATCACCTGGACCTAAATCTGCCTGATTTTTTAGTCAGTGTTGCTTGATTTGCAGTTTTCAGACCCATCCCCTCCTTCCACATGAAACATAGGAAGAGACTTTTGATATCGCCTGTTCGTCCCTTTGAGGAGAAAACTGATTTTCATTTCTAACCGGCTCATCGCCCCCTTCTCCGTTTCTGTCTCTTGTGTTTTCTGTGTGGTGCTGCAGCTGGTGAGGATGCATTGCGCCGGCTACCTGTGAAGCACAAGCCCTTCCCACACACTGCCAGTCCCCCCCTCCCCTGCCCCTTTGTAACGAAATGCTTTTTGATGAGACGTCTGTGGAAAGGCCAGTGAGCCCTCTCTCCACCCATGTCCACTCGGGTTCTCTGCACAGTGGGGGTGGGGAGCAAAGCGCCGAGTTCGGCTTTCCTAAGTTTGTGTTCAGGCACATTAGTTCATTGATCACACTTTACAAGTTTAATTGCAAATTCCCAAATGACGAGGGGGAGGGAGGGAGGGACAGAGAGAGAGAGAGAGAGAGAGAGAGAGAGAGAGACTGACTGAGACTGAAGAACTGAACCGAGCTGGTCCTCAAAACAGCCAAACCCCACTCAAGACTCTAGCGTGGACTTCTCACAGTGCTGCTTGGTTCTGTCTGGTAGATTTCCACAAGAGCCTCCAAGCCACGCTTACTTTCTTTGAGAATCAGATTTGAATGTGGAGCCACCCTCCGCTCTAGTCACATAGGTCCCCAACTCTTTCAAGTGCTGAGTGTGAGCTGGCACACCTGTGGTGTCGAGACACTGTGCTGACTCTTACACACACAACTCCCGTTTCCTTTTGTGTGTGGGTATGTCTCTGCGTGTCAGAACTGGATCTGAGCAGCTTTGCACTGACTGCATCCACGCAGATGCGTGGACCTCCCAGAGCTTTATTTTCAAAACTAACAGCATTTTGCAGAAGGGGAAACAAATCAATCCTCTTGCTATTATTTATGTGATATCGGGTCTGCTGGATGGATATAGGAATCACCAAGAATTGTAATCGTTTGTGGAGTGCAGCACTGGTTTCCCTGAGCTGTGTGGGCTGTGGCCCCTCTCGGGTCCCGTTCTCTGCAGTGGGAACAGAGACTAGTCAGGGTTTGGAGATGAGCTTGGTGAACCGACTGTATCAGTATCTCCAACGAAAGGGATAAGTGAGCATCTATTTATGGCAGACAGGACATGATCCAGTAAGTAGCACTCTTTATCATTCTGAAATAAATAATTGGAAAATGAAACATCACCGACTGGGGGAGGGGGCAGCTGAGGAATTCAAAAGCACGATTTAAAATCTTGCTGTCATACGTTCAACATGGGCCCAGCTGAAAGGGTTTTAAGTGGTGAATGCTTTAAAGTCACTTGTGGTCGATTCTTTTTCGAAGCTCAGTGTCTTGTTTTCACTGCGTCTGTGGATCTTTGCCTCCTCTCCATTCATCAGCTTGTTCTGCCTGGCGGAAGGTGCCAGTTGCCGGCTAAGCTTTCCTTTCATGGAGACCCACAGTGGATGCAGAGGGAGGCCAGATCCAAGCCCCTTTATTTTAGGATATTGTGGGACGGAGCCTGACACCCTCCTGAGGCTCCTGTTTCCTTTCCTTTTCTTTGAGCTCCTCTGTTTTTATTTTATTTCATTTTTTGTCCTTTCTGATATGTTTCTGGAATAGTCAATTGCCTATTTTTTATTCACAGACAAAATTAGAAAAAAAATACAACTGAAAAGTGATCTTTGAGCTTGTATGGAAAGAGTAGCTTGCAAAAAAAATCCTTCCTTAAACCTCCATGCCTAGGTACTTAAAAAAAATCTTTATTATATTTTAAATTGTGTGTGTGTGTGTGTGTGTGTGTGTGTGTGTGTGTATACATATGCAGGCCACACATGGAGGTCGGAGGACAGAACAACCTGCCTGTGGGTCCTGGGACTTGAACTCATGTCATCAAGGCTTGGCAGCAAGCTCCTTTATCCACTGAGCCATCTCTTCAACTTCGTAGATACTTGTCTGGTCAGTGTAATCTCTGTTTTTGCCTGTCCAGACCACACAGGGAGTGCTAGCGTGGGTTTTGTTTTGTTGTTTGTTTTCTTTTTCCCCAGAGCCCGTTGTCTGACTTTGCTTTGGGTCAGCCACAGAGGTGATGGGCTGGTGACTTAGAGAGGCTGGGGTGCTCAGCAGCCCTGTTCCCAGTCAAGGCTTGCTGAGGGCAATCAAGGGAAGATATGCTTGGCATCCTGGTAAATACTGAAGCCAGGAGGGCTCTGGCGTCTTCTCAGATTTAACCCGTTGTCCCTGTGGGGTCATGGATGGTTCCCTGAGGTCTAGACTCACAACACCGCAATGCTGCCCTCACTGTAGTACTTGTTAAGGATTTACTGGTGACAGGAAGAGACAGACACTTTGGTGGCTTTTGGAGGTGGTTGTCTTAATGGTCTTGCTTTGATTTTGCTCAGACCTTTACAATCTGAACATTTCTGAGCGTCTGAGCAGAGGTAGATGACTGTGGCATGGGAACAGCAGACCAGAATCTGTACTATCCAGGGACCATGGTGGTGGAGGCAGACACCAGAGCACAAATGTAGCACCAGGAAGTGCCTGCCCTACAGTCCCTCCATTTTGCTCCAGATTTGGCTGTGAGGTGACCTCTGTTGGTGATGTACCACTGAGCACGCTGAAGCTCTTCCCAGTCCCCCTCCCTGATCTTTGGCGTGTGTAGATCAGGCCAGCCTCACAGGTGGGTGGTGGCTTCTCCTGGGCCACAGACCCCTCCACTCTGCCTCCTTGTGAGGGCATCTGTTGATTTGGTTTGCTGCTCTTACTGGCCCCAGAGCCTTTTATCAAGTACTGGGCACTGACTCAGGGCCTTCTCTGCTAGACAGGTGCTCTATCGCTCAGCCACATCGCCAGCTGCAACCACTTGGATCCCAAAGCTAGGGTGGCCAGGAGGAGAAGCAGAAGGTATTCGGGGCTGGTTGCACTGAATGTGCCCAGCTACCTGGCCTAAGAAGTAGAGCTGCTGTGACTTGCTTAGAGGAGAGGAGGGCTCAGGGGTGGGGTAGGGCTGGGACTCCACACAGAGGGGGAGGGGTTCATGACAACTTGAAAATCTCTGCTGAATTCCCAGAAGTTTCCTGTAGAACCCTGGGCTTCATTGAAACAATCTTACCCGAATGGAAGAGACATTTATCAAGCACCCACTGTATGCTGGAGCCTCGGTGGTGTGAGGGACGTTGAGCATCTGCACATTTTTAATGGAAAACTCAGATCTAGAGAAGTTAAAGTTGCTTTTAAACTTGGGCTATCAGATGTGAAGGCCTGTGCAGTTCTATCCATACATCCATCTACACATCTACCTGTGATCCATGCACCCATGCATTCATATATGCATGCTTCCTCCCATCTATCCATGTATCTATGCATCTATCTACCTGCGCATTCATTGACACATTGACTTATGATCCACCCACCCACCCACCTACCCACCCATCCATCCATCCATCCTTCCATCAATGCATCTATCCACACATCCACCTATAATCCATGCATTTATGTTTCCATGCATCCAGGTATGATGCATCCATACATATATCCATTCATCTGTCCATCTGTCCATCCATCCATCTATCCCTCCATACATCAACCTATGCATCTTTCCACCTGTCCATCTATCCATCCACCCACCCACACATTCATACACACATCTGCATCCATCCATCCCTCTGTTCATCTGCCTGTCCATCCATGCATCTGTCTATCCAGCCACCATCCACTCATCCGTCCATTCATCATTTTATTATTTAGCTCCTCATTTAGCTTAGATACAGAACCAGGACCAGTATTAGGAACTCTGATCAGTGAGGTCGGGGAGCAGTGGGTGGGAGGCTCTGGTGCAGCCTAGGGAATCCCAGGAAAATGTCTCCAAGACTCTGAGCCAGGAAACAGGTGGGCAGCCTCGGGTTGGGATGGGTGTGAGCAGCTGCACCCTCGGCAGCTCTGTGCAGGACTGCTGGTTGCTATGGCTGTGGTGGGCCTGGAGTAGGGGTAAGCTGGGCTGGAGTATCCCGAGTTGCTGACCTTCCCTGAGGGCAGCAGGTGACAGAGGCCAAAGCCAGACAAAGCTGGGGCTGCAGTTGGAATTGGACGTCAGCTTCCCACATGGTGGGTGTCTAAGGGCTGCCTGTGTCTTGGTGTCCTAATCAATACTCTGGCTCTCCTTTGCGAGGAAACCAGAGATAGACTTAAGCAAGCTCCCCCAAAATGGAGAGCGTTTGTCAGCCAGCACTGCGCCATGTGGGCCTGGAACGTCCAGCTCGACTCACTGGGCCTCTGTGGAGGAAGACACAAGGTATCTTCCACCTTATCCATAGTTCCAAAAGGAGACCAAAGGGGACGTGGGAACTGGTTAGCTGACTTGCCCAACATCCTACAGCATAGCAGCTCCTGAGGCTGAATTCAAAGTCTGCCTCTGGTGACTTCTCCATCACAGAGTTGCACTAGTGGATGGCAACAGGAGCAGGAGGATCATCCCTGAGCTCAGCCTTTGCACTTACTGTTCCTCCTGCCGAGGCTCCTTCCCCATGCTTTCCTGTGGCTGTCTCCACTCATGACTCCTGTTAGGCGACATCTCCTTTGCAGGCAGGCTTTTCCTGATCACCTAATATAAAGTGCCCTTATTGCACCCTGCCCCATCACTGAGTTCTGTCTTCCTCCTTTTCTGTTAATTTATGCATTCTACTTCCCCATTCCTTGGGGACGGACAGGGGCTTTTTTGCATTTTCAGTACTTTTCTGTGACTCAGAGAACAGGGATAGCAAGTGGGACCCAGGAAATTATTTGTTGAACAAGGGAGTGTGTTTGTACATCCATCTATCCATCTGTCCATCCGTCTTCTGTGCATGCATGCATGCGTCCGTCCACCCATCCTGTTGGGCTTCATGCTCTTCTCTGCAGCTCATCTTGCCCCAGAGTTCTCCCACCAGCCCCATCAAGTCTTTTGACTGGATCAGGGAGCCAGGACTCAGGCTAGTCAATCTCCCCACTACAGTTCCCAGCACATGCTCACGGTATTGGGTTTGGGGACCAGGTGTGAGTGCTTCCCAGCTGAAAGCCATTTTCTGGGAGACACTTCTCCCCCTCAGTGTACTGCGGCACTGAATGCTGGTGTACTGGCGGCTGCAGCAGCTCCATAAACACAAGACGGATGCTCTGGAGGAAGCTCTGGGTTCTGGGCTTCCTTGGTTTCTTCAGGCAGGGCCTGCAGTGAGCCGCCTTTGTGTGAAGTGCAGCATGACACTGCAGAGCTAGTGCCTCTGGGACTCCCCTGCCTGCTTCTTCCCCCCGAGTCTCCTGGTTCCAGGCAGCTTTCCCATTGAGGTGTCTCTGCCCACACTTGCTTCCCTGGAGGCTGTGTGTGTGTGTGTGTGTGTGTGTGTGTGTGTGTGTGTGTGTTCCTGGATGCCCTTATACCAGGTTAGGACCAATGCGATCAGTGCCCTGATAGGCTGATGGGCTGGGGCAGGCAAAGGAAGAGGATCATGGCTCCTCAGATTTGAGTTGAACTCTTCAGATACCTATTCTTGGCTAGGCCTGTGCTGGATGCAAGGGAAGGAGTCTGGTCAGACATTGTCCATCCATGCAAGCATCCATTCGTACATGCATCCAGCATCCTTTTCTCCTCATCATCCATTCTTTTCTTTCCCCTGCCCATCTATCCAACCATCTATCCATCCACCCATCCATCCATCCATCCATCCATCCATCTGTCTGTCCACACACCCACTCACCCATCCATCCATCCACCCACACATCCATCCATCCATCATCCATCCATCCATCCATCCATCCATCTAGCCATCCATCCATCCACACACCCATCCATCCATCCACACTCCCATCCATCAATCCATCCATCATCCATCCATCCATCCATTCATCCATCCACCCATCCATCTACACATCCATCCATCCATCCATCCACACACCCATCCATCCATCCATCCATCCATCCATCCACACACCCATCCATCCATCCATCCACATACCCATCCATCCATCCATCCATCCATCCATCCATCCACACACCCATCCATCCATCCACACACCCATCCATCCAACCATCCATCCATCCATTCAACATATGTGAAGCATTTGTGATGGATCCAGGGGTGAGGCTAAATGGGATAAGAGTAACAGGCTACATGTATTGAGCACTTACTGTTTGCCAAGCCCTATTATGATTGGTTTGTACATGTCACTTTCCTGACCCTTCATGACTCTGTAAGGATGGAACCATTGTTCTCTGCGTTTTGTGAATGATCAGACAGCCTCTGGGAGCATAAGCCCGTAGCTCATGGTTACAGAGCTGGTGGCATACAGGGTTGAGTAAGGGAGACTCAGGCCTTGCTGTCAGCAGACATCCCAGCTTCTCACAGGACCCTGGAACAAGGGTTCCTGACCAAGGTCTTGTCTGCTGAGAGATGAAGGGTGAGTAGTTGTCACCCTCTGGAGATAAGGACATGACCCAGGAGGTGGGCTGGGGCCAGGCAGGCTGGGCCTGTGTCTCAGCTCTGCCTCTTACTGTGTGGCTCTGGGCCAGACTCCATTTCCCCCTCCCCTCTCCTCCTCATCCCCGTCCTCCCCTGTCTTCCTTTCTCTCCCCCCCTTCTCCTTTCCTTTAGGTCTCTTATAGCCCAGGCCCCAAACTCACTATGTAGCCAAGGATGACCTTAATCTTCTGCCCCTGCCTCTACTTCTCAAGTGCTAATTGCTTGGACCGCATGCCACCATGCCTAGCTCTTCTCTTTTTTCCTTTCTGAGGTCTGGAACTTTGAGCTATCCTCCTGCCTCAGCCTCCTGAGATTACAAGTATGTATCTCTTCCTGGCAGAACTGTCTCTTCCCTTCCTTATTTTGGGAGGAGGAGGTTATTGCTATTTTATTTTACCTTGTAAGGACATGATTGAAGGGTTTTTTTTGTTTCTTTTTTTTTAAGAATTAATAACCCATTTCTCCTTTGCATGTAATTAAAATGTTCTCCAGTCTCTAATTTTTGTCATTTTCCTAATCTAATCTGTTTTCGGAGTGTATCGGTTCCTCTTCCCAGTACAAAGCAAGGGGGATTTTTCTTCCTTAAATATGATTGGGATCTGACTGTCCAGGAATCATTTAAATTTGTTATTTTCTCCTTGGTTAAATACAGCATAAACAGAATCATTAGAAAATCTTAATGAGCGAAAAATAAAAATAAGGATGAAAAAAACCGAAAACCAAATAAACAAACTTCAGGTCGTTGCCTGCTCCCTCACACAGTTAAAAAATAATTATGAATAACGGCGAGGAAAACCCACAGTGTAGATCCAAGCATCAGCCAGCGGTAGTTTGGTGTATTTCAAATAGGGTGCCGCCTCTGGCCGGGTCTGTATCTCTAGGCCACACTGAGCTGGGGTGGAATCTGCCAGCAGGGCCTGTATCTCCAGGCTCCGTGTTAGCTTGGTTGGAATCCACCAAAGGGGTGTTTTACTACAGTAAATTCACATGCAAACTTCACTTTTACAGTGAAATAGTTAAATATAATAATAATGATGATGATGATGATGATGATGATGGTGATGATGATGGAAAGCTACAGCACTTGGACTGTGTGATTTAAGTGGGTTTGTGGATTGACAGGGAACTGGGGGATTCTGGGACCCTGACAGGACAGTGCGAGGCCAGAAGAGGGGTTTTGACAAGCAGATCCTTCCTGCCTTTTCTGACCTTGCCCCAGGCCCACCACCCTGCCTCAGCTGAGGAGGTGCGTGGCCACTGGCTCTGGGAAAATCCCCTCCCTGGATACTTTTGAGAGACATTTCGAGGCCAGATTGATGTTGAAGGAATTTCTGCCCCGTGTTGCCCTCACCTGCTTAGGCTTGCTGGGGTGTGGGTGTGTTTGGGGATGATGTAGGGAGGAGGTGAAGCTGGAGAGGGAATCCTTCCTGCCCCCCAAATCTGAAAAATGAAAACTTAACTTCCCTGTTTACAAAATACCAGCCATTGTGTCATCCTCAGCCCAGTCACCCTGTAGGCTCTGAGGATTTTGTCTGTCTGTCGGAGGAGGAGAAGAAAATGTCTGAAGTATTTAAACATGTTGGACCATGCATGCGTTCGTCCACGGCATCGCAGATTTTTTCCCTTTGTGGCCCCCTCCCTTCTTCCTCTTATTTTTACCAAAGTATATTCATCAAACTGCTGAGTTGGAAAGATTTGTAATGAGTTTTTGAGCTGTACGACTGTGTTTTTCCCCCTCTCTTTCCCCACCCTTTCCCTCTTTCTAAATCTTCATCTGACATTAAATAAAGCAAATCCCAAACAGATTAACTGTCGCATGGTTCTGCTCTGTCTCCTCAGTCTGTTTGCAGGTCTGGCAGGGGACCCGGCGGCGGCGGCGGCAGCGGTGCTGGTGGGAGATGCCTGGGAGGCCCTCGGAGGCCCATGTGGCACTCTAGGTGGGATGCTGGCGTCCTGAAGGCCGAGGCCCTGGCCCTGCTCCCCTGCGGCCTGGGCATGGCGTTTTCTCAGTCACACGTAATGGCCGCCCGGCGACACCAGCATGGCCGACTCATCATCGAGGTGGACGAGTACAGCTCCAACCCCACCCAGGCCTTCACCTTCTACAACATCAACCAGGGCCGCTTCCAGCCACCCCATGTGCAGATGTAAGTGTGGAGTCCCCGGGGACCGGGTGGACGCGGGGACTTGGGTGCCTCCTGATGTTGGGTGCCTCTGTGAACATACACAATGGGGGCTTGTGGACACTGTACTGCAGAACCACCTAGACTGGAGTTGGGGGTGGGAACCCCAAGAGGCTGCAGACTGTTCGCCCTGGGGACCAAAGCTGGCCCTTTGCCCTGCTTTATTGGGCTTGGAGCATGTTTCACGGATGTTTAAAAATGAGGTGCTTGCCCTGAGGAATTCATACTTCACTGATGGACCGAAGTTCTGCAGCTTTGGGCGAGGGTTGTCTGGGGTCTTTGTCCCAGCTTCCCTTGGGGGTGTGGCTCATGACCCCTGGTCTTACTCCAGCAGGGAAGCTGAGTTCCGGAGAAGGGGAGGGTCAGAGAAGGGGAGGGTCTTGCTGCAGGTCTTGTGGTCCGTGAGGATCCCAGCCATCCAGTTGTCTCCTCTCCAGAATCTCTTGCTCCTTATGTGTTCTACTAAAGAGGTCTGGGGGTTTGGCGACGCTGCCTCTTAGTTTCCGGTGCCTGCCTGGGCCGGGTTGCCAGCAGGGAAGCTGAGTTCCGGAGAAGGGGAGGGTCAGAGAAGGGGAGGGTCTTGCTGCAGGTCTTGTGGTCCGTGAGGATCCCAGCCATCCAGTTGTCTCCTCTCCAGAATCTCTTGCTCCTTATGTGTTCTACTAAAGAGGTCTGGGGGTTTGGCGACGCTGCCTCTTAGTTTCCGGTGCCTGCCTGGGCCGGGTTGGGGTCACTGTTGATCCGTAGCAGAGAGGAGAGACTGATGACTCCCTACTGACAGTGCAGTAGCTGTGATCTGCGTGACCCAGTGTTATGAAGCTTCTAGAAGAACC